GCGCGCTACGTCAGGCATAGCGTTGCCCCGTCTCAGATGTCGAGCAAAATCTCGATTGCCAAGATGACCAGCACTGCCGCAAGCAAGCTTGAGATCAGTTAGCTGTCGTTTGTACGTGTCCGTTGTTCACTGAAAGTGCCTGTTTGATCTGGTTTGCCGGCCGATCAGGAATCGCGCCAATGCCGCCCCCGTCGAGCTCCGAAGATGAAGTACATGCCCCACTAGCGGTCTGCCACAGAATCAGTCGCCATCGTTCCTCGCGGGCCTCGACTGCTTCAACCGAGCCCTGCGAAGTGGCCGGCTGCCAAGTTCCACCCGGGAAACCTCTCAGCACGGCCACGCGCTTAACAAATACTGGACTTGCCAGGCCCGCATCGGGGGCACCTGGAGAGATCAGCTGCCCAACCTGACTGAGACACGCACTCCAGTTGCAGCAAGGCGCCAGCGAACATCGCGTCAGTAGCCAGCATCGCGGTAAAGGAAGGCGCGGCCAGTCGACCTCTTGGCCAGGGCGCGCCCACGGGAAGGAGCCAGACCAAGCATCCTGAGCAGATTCGGTGGCACCATCGGAATAGACTACCTCTGCCGCCCGCTCGCTAGTCAAATCGTCTGCAGAAGCTGAGCCGATAGCGTCAGCGGGGGTAGAAAGCCCGTCGCGGGGCTCGCGATGCGCTCGGACGCGCGCCCAGCGAACGTAGTTGACGTCTCCTGCCCGCGAACCCTTCAAATGTCGGCATCCCCCACGATCGTCTCGAAGCCGCCGAAACCGCCCCCGTCCACGATGTTATCTTGCATCTCGCGTTCGGCAGCGCACATCGCCGGGCGCCTGAGCCCTCGATGCGCCGTGGCACGCCCGCGCTGACGAAGTCTCCGACAGAGAGCCTCGCCTAACGCATCTGGCAGTCGTCGCACGTCCACCAGAAGGCCCCGTCGTTGCTCCGGTGGCGCATGGACTTCTCGGGGCGCGCGCGCGCGGCCTGCTCGGTCTTCTCGGCGCCCGCGCCGTCTGGCCCCAGCCTCTTGCCCACCGCAAACCACATCCCGCTGGGGACCTACAGAACTCGATGGGAAAAGTCTCTGGTCGCGGGTCTGAGGCGTGGATGGCGCGGCCTCGTCGCCCGGACTCCTGGCGCCCCCGCGCAGGCTCTTGTAGGCATTCGCACCGATGCGCGCCTCCGCGCGGCGCCCCATGGCCACGCGGCCCAGGGTGGCGATAAGCTTCAGTTCAGGCACGCTTGGAACCATTTCCACGCCCGCCCCCCTGGAATCATCATGGGCTGGCTGGACTTCCCGGCGCTCGGAGGCCCCCGCCAGAGCTCCTCGTCGGCGACGAGGCGACGACGCGCCCCGCGCGGCCCAACATCGCACGAGACGTCGAAAAAGGAGGCAGCTGGCTGAGAAAAGCACCCCTGAGTCTTCGGCGAACCCGCCCTGACTTTGTTTTTCCTCTGCCGGCCGTCATCGGCAAAAATAAGAACAAAGAGTTTGTTGTCAATGCGTCTGTCCGCCACTGCATCGCGCGTCCTCCACTCGCTGCCGTCGAGCGCCCTCCAGAAGATAACGCCCCATGGCAAGTCAAGCACCACGCCTAGCTACCCGAACATCTTCACTGCGAGGGCACCGCGGCACTCTGCCACAGCGATAGATAAAGTCCAGCTGGAAAGAAATTTGGTAGATCCGCCGACGCACGCGGCGCCCATTTCACGAGTCGGTATATGCACTGACTTCACGCCATAGATATCCCCTAGGAATCTCACTATTTTCGCAAACTGATGTTCGCCACAGACTCCACGCTGAGCTCCAGCATCCACCAAACCAAACCCCATCTGGACCCGAGGACCGATGAAAGTCCGCTCACCAGCGTCGGCAGTTGCAAAGATAATGTAGCACAAGACTGCGTCGCATGTTCCCATTGATACGCGTCGCGCAGAACGTCATCTGCGTCGAGAGGGTCGGCCTGGCAACCACCGAAGCCCGCTTGCCGCCCGCAACCTCGCTCGCCTGGTTCGCCCGCGCAGCCCCGAGCCCAGCGCCCCATGCCCCCGCGCCGGGCACACTTCGAGCGGCTCATCAACTTACTTGTGGCCCAGCGCTTCGGTAGAGCACGCCCAGTCCGCCCCCCTCGACGCCCCCCCTCGCGGGGTCCTTCGGACTTGCCTTTCGGAGGAGACTACTTGAAGAGGCCTCGTCCGAGCTTCCACTTGCGCAAGCATTGTCGTACCCGGCTGTAGTTGGCGTAGATGGCGACAGCCTCGTCTCCCCCCAAAATCACATCCTCGGGCACGCCCCCAGCTACCAAAGTACGCATTCGCCGCCAACGCACCAAAAAGCCCCATTCAAGACGCGGTCTTCCTCGTAGAACTCTAACAAGGTAAATAATGACTGCCCCATGGGAACCCAGCGAAAGTCATCACGGTCAGACCCCGTTCATCACATCCGTCGCCACCTCCTTGGTATCCGAGGATGTGCGGGGCGGTATTCATTCCATGAATACGATGGCCGCCTCTACCCGAGGGTAGTGGTCGCTCAAGCTTACGGAGTTTCTCACACACCACGTCAAAATCAAATGACCCCTCCGTCCAGCGATCAACCGTATCCCGGGCGGCTTCACTGAGCTTGGATTCTCTGAGAAGCATGTATCCTTTCAACTCCCTGACAAGGTCGCGTCCTTCTCAAGCTTTCGGAATGCACTCGCTAGCGAGCAGTATAATTGACAAGAGACACGTATCGCTCACGCTTGGCGTCGTCAGAACAGAAGCGCTTGTCAAATGCCTTCGGCATCCTGAGGTCTTGGTATTCGGCGAAAACCTTTTTCTTATGTTCAACCACCACCAGCCCACTGTCCTCCGAAGACACTTGATATGCGGCGAAGTGGCTGATGATAATTTCGAGGTCGTCTCTGGCGCTGTGGTAGGTGAAGTATCCATGTGGTCCTTTTAAGGTTGTGGCTGTCGTGAACTACAGATGCAGCTCTTTCATATAAAGGACTCATCGAGTATCAGGACATTTTCCATCCCAGGCGGGAGGTGAATCGTTTGGTATATTTGGGGCCTCCAATTGTTCAGAAATTGCCCCCTCTGATGATCAGAAGATCTGGCAGTAGCGTTTCCCCAAGATGTCGGAGTGAACGGCGTAGCCTGTCCCCGCAGGAGCGTGTTCAACCGACGTGGTGCAGCCAGCGAGCCACGGCCCCCCGCGATCCAACTTGCTGGGGATGCTTGCATCCTGGGCCGTGTATCCGTCCTGGGCTGCGACAACCAGCGGGCCCAGTCTTCATCTGACCCGTCCATTTCGTCATTACCGTCCCGGGGAGCGTCTCCTCGTCCTCCGCCTTCTGCCCAACGACCATCTGGAAGTTCGCTTTCGAAGGCTGAGCATCGGCTGGGCTGTCCATGGCAGCGTTCGGAGCCAGAGGGTGGGAAACGGGAATAACGGAAAGAGAATTTGGAAATGTCACCCGAGAATCGGGTGGTGGGGGAGTCAGCCTGACTCCGCTCATGGATCGGAACCACCGACGCGCTGCCACTGTGGAGTGTACGTGGATAACTGTATGGAATACAGGAAGACACGAAGTACAAGTAGGGGGGCCCGTGCTATAAGAGAGCACGCTCCTTTGGGCCAAGGCGCGCCCGTCGCATGTGCGCCAGACAAGGGCCCTTGTGAACCACAACGGCGGCACACAAGGGAAGCGGGACGGAGGCGCAGGAGGAGGAGGCTGGAATGCGCATGACAAGCACACAGCCACTGGGGCCTTCGACGGGGCTCTCTATAGGGGCACGAAACGCATCAGGGCTGCCAGCGCCGAAATGGACCCGAGTCAGCATGCGAATGCAGCCGAAAGCCCCTTTTGGGCCACGAAACGCGCGAGGGGGTGTGCCAATGGATCCGGGTCACCATGCGAACGCAGCAACTGGAACCTGCGGTGGAGCTCCCAATGGGGCCACGAAACGTGCAAGGGGCAACAGGAGGGCAAAGAAGAGAGAAGAGGACGATGAGAAGGAAGAGAAGAAGGGAGGAGGGGGAGAAGGAAAGGAGAGGAGAGGAGAGGAGAGGAGAGGAGAGGAGAGGAGAGGAGAGGAGAGGAGAGGAGAGGAGAGGAGAGGAGGAGGAGAGGAAAGGAGGAGGAGGAGGAGGAGGAGAAAGAAGAGGAGGAGGAGGAGGAGGAAACGCGCGACGCTGCATATTTAAAACGAGGACCCAGCACACAGGAGGGCTGGGAATCAGACCGTCGATCATATCGTCGAATCTGGGATGGCAGCTCATGGGGAGGAACAGTTTGGAATCGGGGATACATCGCCGACGGGTCGGCGATGGGCATCCGCTGGTGAAACCGCACGCTCCTGGGCGGGCGTGGGGTGGCCTCGGCCGAGATCGGCGAGGCACGGGCGACAGGGAGTCGACGCTTCCCCCCCCCTGGGCCAATAACAAAAGATGGGGGGCCACATGTTGTGTGTACAGGGAGACGGCCGAGGGACCGTTCCTATACGGGGCCCGTAGGTAGAAGCGAGGAGTAGGACTCCTTTTCCAGGACACTGCGCAAAGAGCAGTGCACGGTCAGTATTATGCCAATACCGGAGCTGGTACACTTGCGGAATGTGAGGATATAATGGGGATGTGAGCGGATTTCACACACACACACACACACACACACATGCGAACCCTACCCCTGCCCGACGATTTCTGGGGGGGGAGGGTGGGTGGTCACTTCGCTCGGGAGCTCCCGAGCGAAGTGAACCCCAGCCTCCCCCTCAGATATCGTGGTGGGTAGTGGTAGGGTTCGCATGTGGCCCCCTAGAAGGAACAGAAAAATACATGAGCCGAACCTTTCGGAATCCCGCGCGGATTCCATGGATCGGCGCTCGCCCCCCCTCCTTGACGCGCGGAGCGGCGCCAGAGGCGCCGGCAGGGGGGGACGGGGGCCGATCCGAACAGTCCGCGCGGAGCACCAACTGATACTTTTCTCCATCGCAACAATCCCCCCCTGGCGTCGCCCCAGGCTCCTCCCTGCAGCCCGCGGCGAAACCCCGGGCTGCGGCGGGGGCGCCCTCCACGCGGCGCCTCCAGAAGGCCAGGAGCTGCTGGAGCATCGCCACGCGCTGCCGCAGCCGCGCCTCCTCCCTCTCCTCCTCCTGCTCCTGTCGAGGAAGCGCGGACGTGGATCAGCGACGCGTGGATCAGCGGCGGGCCCCGTGGCCGTACCGACTCGGCGCGCTCCGTCGCCAAAGCGGGCGGCAACGTTGCGGGGGGTACCTTCCCCGATCCGTGGATTCCTCCCGCTTCGCGGGGTCCACGTCCAGAGTGTGTAGAATACGTGCGGCTGGGCTCTCCCGGGAGCCTGTTCGAGGCCTCTGGAATCCTCTTGGGGAGCTCTTGGGATCTCTCCCCCAATCCGTGGGTCTGGCGCCCACGCGCCACATCCACAAATCCCTGCACGTCGGTCGGGCCTGTCCCCCTCGGAGCGAAGAATTGAAAGTACTCGCGGAAACCTGCAAAAATGCTTTTAAAAAAAAATGTCCAATAAAAAAAACGTGCCCAGACTACTTTGTTACTATGTTTGAATATTCCCCCTCCTCCTCCTCCTCCTCCTCCTCCTCCTCCTCCTCCTCCTCCTCCTCCTGCTCCTCCTGCTCCTCGTCCTCCTCCTCCTCCTCCTCCTCCTCCTCCTCCTCCTCCTCCTCCTCCTGCTGCTCCTGCTCCTCGTCCTCCTCCTCCTCCTGCTCCTCCTGCTCCTCGTCCTCCTCCTCCTCCTGCTCCTCCGCTTCCTCCGCTTCCTCCTCCTCCTCCGCTTCCTCCTCCTCCTCCTTCCCCTCTCCAACTCATGGTTGTGGCGCCCACGCGCCACATCCACGGACCCCTGCTTCGTGCCAGCGTGCGCCCAGTCCTCGGAGAGCTGCTGGCCGGCCCGGGAGCTGCGCGCCCCCCTCGCGGCGCCCCGCGCCGCCCTCGCCGCGAGCAGCGCCGCGGCCTGCTCCTGCGGCAGCATCGATCGGACCAGCCTCTCCTGGGGGACGGGCATTGTGGACGCCATGACAATGGACACTCTAACAATCCTACCATTGAATTAAAAATGTGTTTCAAATGTGTAGAACATGTAATGAACATGTTTCAAACATGCTTCTACATGTTTAAAACATGTTTGAAACATTTGGCAGCATGCTTCCTCTCCAGTAATCGACTTCCACAAGACAAGCAGAACACTTCACGAGCGTGAGCTTTTGCAGATCCGCGCGGGCCGTCAGGGGGGGGCCCGGCGCAGATCCCAGACATCCGCGCTCGCAGAGCTCCGGAGTCTGCTGCTCGTGATGTTGCCTGTTCTGACATTGGGCATGGGGGAAGCGGGTCCTGAGGGAAACGGGTCCTGGACCAGGGCTGAACCTAAACGGTGTGTTTCGTTTTCGTTTTGTTTTCGTTTTCCCTCGTTTTGTCCTCAATCCACCTCTACCGCAAAACGACGTCGAAACGAAACCGGCCCACGAAATCGCCAAAACACCGTTTAGGTCCAGCCCTGTCCTGGACTCTGGGGCATTCCCCCAGGACGGGGTCTTCCTCCCGAATCCTTTCTTGACAGCCCCTGGGCCCGTGGAGGGCCCCGAGAAGCCAAAAACGGCGGAGAACCTCAGGGCCCGTTTCCCTCAGGACCCGTTTCCTGGTGGGCCTGTTTCCCACCACCACCACTACAAGTTGGAGGCGGAGCGGGTCCTCCTCCTCCTCGTCCTCCTCCTCCTCCTCCTCCTCCTCCTCCTCCTCCTCCTCCTCCTCCTCCTCCTCCTCCCCCCTCCAACTTATGGTCGTGGTGGTGGACAACCGGCCCATCACTTCCCCCACGGCGATCGATCTCCTTCAGCCTCAGCCCCTGCCGGCAGCGCTTCAGCTCCCTCCGCAGCTGCCGGCGGAGGGCGGAGCGCAGGCTGGCGCAGTCGAGCTGCTGGGGACTCACGCGCGACTGGCGCGCCACGGCGGCGACGGTGGTGTCGTCCCCGAAGAACGCGTCCTGCACGAGCTGCCTGCAAGGGGAGCGCAGGGGAAGGAGGGAGGAGGAGGAGGAGGAGGAGGCGGAGGAGGAGGAGGAAGGAGGAGGAGGAGGAGGAGGAGGAGGAGGAGGAGGAGGAGGAGGGAGGAGGAGGAGGAGGAGGAGGAGGAGGAGGCCGTTGCTGCCCGACTCGGGAGCGGCGACCCCCCGCCTGGCCCTTGACACCAGGGCGGGGGGTCCCGCAGCGGGCAACAGGCTGAGCGCGGCACCCGCCGATCCCAGCGTGGCGACCGCGTTCGCATGAGCCAATGGCAGGGGGGGGGGGGGCTGCCCGAACGCGTGGCGTCCCGCAAGCATCCGATCCCAGGAAAAGGCCATGTTGGGGCCCACAGCTGCTCGACGAGCGGCGCGCCGAAGGCGCCGGCTCGCCATGAAGGCGGCGCTCGAGCACCAGCAGCACCGTGACCATCATCACAACATCGTCACAAGAACGGCCTCAAAGACGCAAGCACGAACACCCACTCCTACGCCAGCACTGCCAGCTCCCTCAACGAGGACGCGCTGGAGTGCATCCCCAACACGATCACCAACGCCTTCGAGTCCAATATCGACCAGCGCGCCCTGCAGTGGCCTATCCGTCAACATACGGACTGAGAGCAGCAGCGGAGGCAGCCGCGGGAAGGCGGGTGAAGCGCAACACCGAGCGGCGCGACAAGCAGCAGGCCACCCCGCCAGACCAAGCCGCCGCCCCAAGCCCTGCAGGGTGGCTGCTCCGCGTGCGGCTCGCCGCACGCTGATAGCCACAATCACGGGCCCCTGGTGGGGTCTGGGCCTGGCATTGTGGATGTCATGACAATGGACACTCTAACAATCCTATCATTGAATTGAAGATGTGTTTAAAATGTGTAAAGCATGTTCTGAAAATCTGTCAAACATGTTGCTTTACAGATTTGAAACATGTTTGAAACATCTGTTGGACATCTGGAAATTATTTGGCAGCATGCTTCCCCTCCATTAATCGACTTCCACAAGCCTGGCAGGGGATCAGCCCGGGTGGCCTCTGGTCCCACGGGTGCCCCCCAGAACCTGCCCCCAGGACCCCTTGCCCCGCGCGGCAAAGGCGGCCCGCCTCGGCCCCGGCCAAAAGGAAACACTTGGGGCGCGTGCTGGGGGGCCGCGCCGTCCGCGCGGAGGACGCGGTGGAGGGTGTCGAGCACGAGGGCGAGGTGGAGGGGGAGGGCACCGTGCACGCGAAGGAGGACGTGGAGGAGAAGAAACTTGGCACAAGCTGCGTGGCACGCAGCAGGGAGGCGAGGTGGACGTCGAGGTGGGCGAGGGGAAGGAGCCAGTTGTCCAGGACGTGGAGGGGCGCACCGTGGACAGAACTGGCCCCTACTCGCCGCTCCAGAGCCCCACCCGCGCGCGGGAGACTGCCATCCTCGACGCGTGGTCCCACTGCCACATCCCGCAAGATGCCATACGCATGCCCTGGCAGGTCTTCGAGGAGGACCTCGAAGAGAGGTTTCCCAATGTGGGCGAAGACGATATTAGGAAGCAGCTGAACTACTTGGACACCGTAGGGGTCACTGGCTGCTGCCGCCTTCGCCGAGCTGCCACAGACAGCACCCTACCACGAAGTCTCAATGCTTGAGCTGGCTGGTTACGAGAACGCCTCCCGCGGCGCTGGCTGCGAGAGGCCCGCGGAGGCGTGGCCAACCCTGGGCAGCGAGGACGAGACCGACTGGATCCCAGAGGACCCCACTTGCTCCTTGGCTCAAGACCTCCGCGGGGCCCCACCTCTCGAGCCCCTGAGACCCTGAGGCCCCGCCCAGGTTGCCCTGGCTGCTAGCCGCCTCCCTCCCCTTCCTCCAGCTTCGCCTGATAAGACGAAGCCAGGACGGGGACACAATCAGGTGAGGATAAATCGAGAAGATCAGAGAGCCGGCGACTCTGGAGGAATCTCGTGCGCCGCGGTCTTCTCAGAGCGTTCCAGAGCGCTCTGAGAGCGCCCTCGAACGCTCTGGAACGGATTATCCTCGTCCCAACCCCGTCCGAACTGAGCCTTCTCACCACCCTCCGCCTCGCCAGGCCCTGCTTTGACGGCCAGCCTCTGCAGCCCGACTGCTTTTCCGGCCAGGCATTCCACAGCCAGGCCCGGGGCCCCGCGGCCACGCCGCGCGGAGCGCGCCGCTGCAGCAGGGAGGAGGATCAGATTGTCGGGGAGACGGTAAGACTCGAGTTCGGAGGACTCGGGTTGGCCTGACGGGGCCATCATGAAACTGACGAGACGCAGTCTGAAATTTGACGCGAGCTCCCGCTGCAAACGCCACAAAAACTGGACCGTCAAAATCCGAGACGCGCTCGTCAAAGAGCGTCGGCAAAGTCGAGTTCCGGTGCACGGTCAACCAGAATAGTAAGGATGCGCGATAAGGATGCAAGGGCCTTGGACGCCCATTTCGAAGCTTTTCGAGCGGGGCGCGGCCAGCGAAAGCGGCGAAGGATGGACCGAGGAGGCAAGGATGCAAGGGTACCTTGGAAAGGTTGCCCATCCTTGCTATGCGGGTAGACTGTACTCGAGTCCTACGTTTCCCCCAGATCTGTATATGTGGGGGGAACGCACTGACCACAAAATGTTCCTACCTCAGCGCGAGCTCGCGAGCTTGCAGCACCCCAGCGCCAACGAGAACACCACCGTTAGCATAGGGGGTCCTACAGTCAACCAGTATAGTAAGGATACTCGATAAGGATGCAAGGGCCTTGGACGCCCATTTCGAAGCTATTCGAACGGGGCGCGGCCAACGAAAGTGGCCAAGGATGGACCGAGGAGGCAAGAATGCAAGGGTACCCTTGGAAAGGCCGCCCATCCTTAGTATGCGTGTTGACTGTAGGGCGGACACCCGGCACCAACGAGAACGCCACCGTTGGCCCAGAAGGATCTTGTGGATGGGGCGGAAAATTCATAGCGGATCGGGGGGAATTGGGGGGCTGGGCGGACGCTCGACAGTAAAAACGGTGTGGACCCCACCTTCGAGATCCACAGCAATGGCTGTTACCGAAGGTGCGTTGGACTGCATTGGCGACTCTCGAGCGTGGCGTTTAAGTTCCTAGTTGGACCCCACACGCTGCGCCCAAGCCGCTGTCGCTCCCAGGCAGACTAGCCCTCGACCGCCGTTCACATCGACTGAAAAAACGGGGCAGACCCCACGACTGAGATCCACAACAACGGCTGTCGCCGCCAGTGCATCGGAGCTAGGTCTCCAAGTCTTGCCTCTAAACTCCCGCTAACTCCCACACTTTACATCGGCGGCTTCGGAGCGGATCCGTCACGGTCACGCTAGCACTGGGCTGGAGTGGAAGCGAATTGGGCACAGGGGGCGAGAGAGATGTGGATGAGGAGACGGATGGAGGGGAACGACCGGCGCGCACCACAACTATTAGGGACAAAAACTCGTGGCCTATGAGCATCGTTACACCGATCCCCATCCCCAGCGGCGTGGCCTGGGCCCCACTGACCGATTTACCCCACCCCCTAGATGGGGATATAGGCCTTTCCATTTGGGTTTCGAGGGGTAAATCACCAACTGGGGGGGTAATTTGGTGGGGGTCTCGAAGGGGATGGGGATGGGGATGGGGGTCGGTTAAACGATACTGAGCCTAGAAACCCCCCAACGCCTCCCGTCCCCAAGGAGTTTCGGAGGTCCTTCGGGGATTGGGCGGACCCTTCTCGCTCCCCGCTCCCGCCTCTCCTCCCTCCCACATTGTCCTTGCCTCCTTCGCCTCCGGGTACACCCCCGTGACCAGCAGGCCAGCCGTCCCTGTGCCGCAGGACGAACGCCACCGCTGCCAAGGCACCCTAATTCTGACCCCCCCGTGAGGCGAGCGCCGTCGGGGGGGCAGCGTGGCAGCGTCAAGAAACAAATTGGCCGTCGGTCCCCGGGAGGAGGGAGAGAAGGGGAAGAGAACACCGTGGAGGAAGGGCAGGAGGGGACGGACAAAGCAAGAATAGGCAGAGGCAGACTCCTGAGGCGGACGCGGAGAAGACGGAGGAAGAGGCGATGATGGGGGCGGAGGAGGCGGAAGCGGCGGAGAGGGAGGAAACGTGAGGACCAGAGTCAACCAAAAATGCGTCAACGATGCTGCACGACCCCCCTCCCTACCTAATCCCCCTCTCCGTTAATCACCCCTGCTTGTTCTTTTCACTGCGGGAAACGCCCCCCGTGAATGACGAACGCACAGTGGATCTGCCACCCAGACGGGCATTCTTCGTTGCAAAGCCACCCTCTTTATTCGATGTTGGGGAACACACCAACAAAAAGACTAATTGAAAAGGGTATGCCTTCCATACGTGCGAGCGTTAACACAATTTCCAACATCTTGCCAGAAGTGCTGCGGCTGTATCAAGCGACGGCGACTTTGTTTGAAAATTGCTCACGAGCGGGAGCACACGCTGCAAACCACAAGCCCTCCATAGTGCGGCAGCCCGCCACCATGTCCCCTGGCATGTTGAAGCACGGTAAACTGTAAAGGGCTGTCGATCATGGCCTCTGATATATTCCAAAACCCCCCGCCGCCCCCCTTACCCGACAGTCAAACAGTTGAAGGGGAAAGGCTAAGCCCTGAATTCGGTTCCTACCGCTCGACGCCAGGCGCGCGCGCTTGCGAATGCGCGCAGGCGCGGACTCGCGCGCCTGCGCGTGCGCGCGCTTGCACGTCTGCTTTTGCGCCTGTCGTTGCGTCCCAGAGGGAGTTTAGTCCATGGCGCGCGCCCCATCGCGCACGGCGCACGCCCTTGGACGTTCGCCCACGCGTCACGCCTGCAGTGGCAACCAAGACGATCTGTAAGCACATATGCAAGACGGGCCCTGACTGCATCCCTACAAGCTTGTCGAATGGCACGCGGGCACCTCTGCGCGCTTGTCTCCGCCTCGCGCGCGCGCGCGAGCGACCGCCTGCACGCGCGAGCGCTCGCGCGCTTGCCTCTGCGCGCACGACGATGACAGCCATGAGAAGCCGAAGAGGACCATGGAGAGCGCG